CAGTGCGATCACCCGCACCGGAACGCACTGTGGGGGGGGTGTGGCTGTGGTGCCATTGACTTCAATGCACTGCTATTCCGCCTCCCACCCCTGAACGCAGGGAGCCAGCAGGGATGTGCTCCAGTGCGTTCCAGCAGCGAATCGTACCCTAAGGCCAGGTTCACACTATTTTCTGGACCAGATCTGGAACACGGTGCATTGCGTTTTGATGTAATTTTTTTTTTTTTTAGCTTAAAATGGGCTTACAGGAGAATTTCAGTGTGTTTTTGATGCATTCGCATGCGTTCCAGTGCATTCCAGACAAAATCGGACAAGCAATATTTTTTTTTTGTCAGGTCCAGAGCGGACTGCGCTGGTGTGAACAGAGCCCAGAAATACCATAGGGATACATTGGGATGCTGTTTTTGGTCCAGAAACAAACTGTTCTAGTCTGGACATGGTGTGAACAAGCCCTAAAGCTGGACGCCTGGCAGATATAAAATACACACCTTGATGCAGCTCTGTATTTATGAATACTTTAGTAAATGTATATTTCTATGCTCGCAGTCTTGAATTTGACTTGGTATCAGTCTCTTGCAATCCATTGTACAGCAGAGCTCAGACTAAAATAAAGGGAAGCAGTACAAGGAGTCAATCAGTTGTGCTGCAGTACAAGAAGTATGCTGACAGGAGGAGAGAGCTGAATAAAAGAGAATCTTTTCCCAGTCAAATGCAGGGGAAGGGACACAAAATCAGATCTCCTTCCCTGCCACGCAGGGCTATGCTGTATGACAGCTGTGCTAATCACAGGACTAGGGATGAGTTCAGGTTTTGTCTGCGCTCAAGGTCATCTGAACCTAAAAGGGGCCGGATCCTAGTGACGGTATTTACCTTACATGGGCATGTCATATCCGGTGAAAGATGTCAACAGCATCCGACCCCTGTGTTTATGTGCAGCTGAGGGGTTGGGAATGCATTGGCTGCTGCTGATTGGGACGGCACTAACACCTTCCTTCTGTGTTCAGATGCACAAACTTTGGGCTGAAGCCGAGCTCATCCCTACTTATGATTAGACAGACAGAAATGCAGATCCTCTGGCAAGTAAAACATCTCCCGTATATGAAGTTTATTTGCGTATTCAGATGCTTGCATGGAGTTCGGCTTTACATAACCAAGGGATGCAATAAATACCTGAGCACCTTGTTCCTGCTTTGTCATACAAGTAATGTCACCTATAGTGCAAAGGTAAACAAAATATGTTACCTGCTTGTAATATACACAGACAGTAGATCATAAAGGGCACGGTTGGAAATGTAGAGGTCAATTCATGCTGTGCATATAGCTGTAGTTTTTATTTTGGGAATTATATGAAAGTCTGAAAAAAAACCCACTGATGCACAGAACATTTGGTCAGATATAAGTTATGTTTATAAGACCTCAGTTGCAAGTTCTGGACTTATTAGAACAAAGCCCTTTTAAAATGCCAACAAAAACAAGGTCTTGCATGGTAGTTTGTGTTTTGTTTTAATGTTGCAGATTTGCATAATACCAGGGCTGCAGGTAAGGGTTTAACTTGGCCCCATCCACAATTGTGATTGGAGATGAGCCCACGAGTCTCTCAAATTCCTTCTTGAGACCTATGTGATCCGCTCCGGGGTTGGGAGGCACTGTACAATACAATGACAGGTGCCACCACCCGCAACAGTTTGCAGACTATTCACATACAATCACACATGCAGCGGTAACTGGTGGATGACCACATCTGGAAACCGACTGTTTGCATGAGTCTCACAGAAGAATTCATGGATTGACTCCAATAGAAAGTGTGAATGGGACCTTAGAATGCACAACAAAGCCATCACCTGAACAAAAGATGATTTTACATATAATGGTCTCCTGGCAATGCCCCTTTTTGTAAAATGAAAAGCAAGCTCAAACATGAGCCTCACTATGCGAGGTCAACTGTAGAAGACTGTAGGTAACAGAGGAAGTAAAGAAATGTGCGTCCACTTTGACTATTCCCATCCTTACTTTACTTGCTAACCCACACTAGAAGACAGCTGTAAACTCATTGCTTTGGGTAGCGCAAAAATGTTACTCCTGAGCTCCAGTATAGTACCAACAATAGAGTGAAGTATATGTGCTGACCGATCTCTGCATGGCTGATGGCAGATTTATGTGCTAGCAAATAACAGCAAAATGTTAGTTCTATTAGACCTTCGTTAAAATGTGTTTCATTCTGCCTCTTTCTTTCAGTTATTTTGAAGGTAAAGCAGCTGAATTGTCGGAGGAACCTGAAGACTCCCAGGCGAGCACCATGGATCTGAAATATAATAACGCAAGGAAGTACATTTCCATCAGTATTCCATCCAAAACGGATGCTATGTCCCCTCACATCAAGTCTGTGGATGACATCCGGGTGCTTGGTATTAATCTAAGTCAGTTCCAGAAACCTGTTCAGTTTTTCATCTGTGTTACTGGCGTTTTTGTTTTTTATTTAATATATGGATATTTACAGGTAATTTTAATACAAATATTCATTTATGTTCCTGTATTAATATTACTACGTCAGATCACATCAATTATACTGTGCAGATATAATTAATCCAGCATGTGTTGTTTTGGGGGTTTTATTTTAATGTTTGAAGATACTTTCCTATTTGTAATTATGCACCTAATATGTACTTGTGTGCCTATAGGCTGCGTATTGACATAAAGCAGGGGTGGGAACCTCCAGCTGTGGTGAAACTACAAATCCCATTAGGCATTGCAAGACTCTGACAGCCACAGGCAAGGCCTGCCAAGGCAGATGCATGATAGTATTTGTAGTTTCACCACAACTGGAGGGTCGCAGTTTGGCAACCCCTGACGTAAAGCAAGGGTGGGGAACCTCTGGCCCTCCAGCTGTGGTGCAACTACAAATCTCATGAGGCCTTACAAGATTCTCACAGCCACAGGCATGACTCCTAGATGATCATGGGATTTGTAGTTTCACCACAGCTAGATTGCCGGAGGTTCCCTACCCCTGACGTAAAGGGACCCTAACACTGAAAGGAGCAGTCTAATATGCAACAGTTTACAATTTGGATAACATTTTACCATTTATAGCGTGTCAGGGTCTGTACTTTTTGTATGATAAAGCAAGTGACATGTCTCCTGCCTCTTCACAATGCAGTGATTGAGGCCAGGATGACGAATTGTCAGGACTTAGCACTTTCCATGGGAAGCATGCCATTCAATATGCAGGTGTTGACAGTTGTGGAAGAGTGTCAGGAAAGATAAGCGTAGGCACTGGAGGGTAGTTAGCACCCTAGGTTTGGGTGGGGTTGGGGTTTGACAAGTACCTGTTTACAAAAGTAGCACATGTCACTGGGCTGCTTTTTGGAGGGCTACAGATCTACAAATGTCCTTCTCCGGCTGCCAAAAAGGCCTCATGAACAGGCTGCATTTAAGCACAAGAGAAGTTATCTCGTAAGTATAAACAACTTTATGCTTCCCAGATTACTTTTTCCTGTGTTTATGCTGGAATGCAGAATGTGCATTTCTATCTAGCAAAAAGGCCTCATGAACACTAGCTGGCTGCATTTAAGCACAAGAGAAGTTATCTCGTAAGTATAAACAACTTTATGCTTCCCAGATTACTTTTTCCTGTGTTTATGCTGGAATGCAGAAAATCCTAGTTTGGGCAAACACTTCTAGATTGATTGCACCTAGACACTGCTGGACTTCTACTTGTCCGTTCAGTCATAGAAAAGCATTATATGAGTCTAGGTGTGTTTTAAAAATGAGCTCCAAATGCACATGAACTCGTGCTTTTTCAAGGTAGTTTGCATGAGGCCTTAGTGGGGTGCTTAGGGCACAATTCTAGTTTCCAGGCTTGTGTTTCAAGTAGAGCTTACACCATCAAAGCACATAATAATATTGCTTCAGTAACAGAGCTGCATTCTGTGCGCTGTTCACTTCACCTTGAGCAGATTTTTTTTTTCTGGGCTGACACTGCCTGCACACTGAGATGTCCTAGACTTGAAACATGAGTCTCCAGCCAGTAAGAATGGGTCTCAAATAGACTTCCATGGTGGAAAGTTGTCTCAACTTTACAGGATAAGGGGAGATTTGAATATAATTTCATATCTCTGGTTCTGTTTGTTCTGACATGTAGTTTTCTCTGATGGTCAACTCTTTATATGCCAGGGATGGCCAAACTCTGGCCCTCCTGCTGTGGTGCAACTACAAATCCCATGAAGCATCTCTCTCCGGGAGTCGTGGCTGTGGCTGTGAGAATCTTGCAAAGCCTCATGGGATTCGTAATTCCACCACAGCTGTATGGCCGCAGTTTGGCCATCCCTGGTATATGCAGCTTTAATCATCTACTGAGTTTGCATTTCCCTGGCTTGTGACGGGTTTACTTTAGTACACTTATGAACCTGGAATATCCAATTTTTTATTTGTATTGGTATGACTATGATATATAAAGCGCAGCATATATGAAAATGTGAAATTAGAGATAATTCATTTTCATTGTAGAGTACTTGTATTCTGGATAAACCTAATTACCAAGACATTAAAAATGTTGTTTAAATATAACTGTTTACCAAGACGAGGCTTAATTTAATTGCTTGGTCTTCTTTTTTTTTTTTTCTTTATAGGAACTGATATTCTCAGTTGAGGGTTTTAAACCATTTGGTTGGTACCTGACATTAGTGCAATTTGGATTTTATTCAGTATTTGGACTAATAGAATTACAGTTGACACAAGATAAACGCAGAAGGTATGTGTAGGACATACTGTGGTAGAATTTTCTCAGTAAGGCCTGGTTCACACCTGGGCGTTTAGTAGCGTGTTCGAACGCTCTGCAAAACGCTCAAACACCGAAATCCCATTATTTCCTATGGGTATGTTCACACCTGGGCGTATTACAGGCCGTATGAACGAGCTACAAAACGCCCTACACCCAAAGAAGTACAAGAGCTTCTTTGGGGCGTTTTTGTCACGCGTTTCCATTGGGATACAGCCAAGTAGCCCTCAGAAACGCGCGTTTGTTGCGCGTTTTTTTTTACCGCGAATCGCAGTAAAAACGCCTAGGTGTGAACCCAGCCTAAAGCCTAACTTTTTGACTATTCTTTGTTCATTGTACTAAGAAAGTGAAATCATGACCTTTTAGCAGTCCAAGCTATTTTTTGTTTCAGATGTCTGTGTACTGTCATGGACTGCAATACTAAAAAGTAGTAATAGGGTGATAGAAGACACTGCTTTATTTAAAAATGTTCATACCTTCAGAAAAGAGGTTGAGACAACATACCAGTCAATAGATTCTAGTACATAAAATTGACCCTGGTATGTTTTAAAAAAAATGAAAAACAAAATCTAGGTAATACAAGTCATGTGTTGAAATTAGGGCTACAGCTAATGATTATTTTTATAATCGATTAGTTGGCCGATTTATTCTTTCGATTAATTGGATAAAATAAATACCAACCTCAATTTAAAATGCAGTGTTACAAACATAAAGTTTACTTCAGAATCAAACTGCATGCACAATTTCTTGCAATCGCACTGCACTAGAACATACAGCATTGCGGTACTGTGTGTTCCAGGACGGGCGATCACACTGGGTGGGAAGTGTGTTTGGGGTGCCATTGAAATTTGGCAGGCCAAAACCGAAAATAACTTCTCCCCCTTTATAAATGTATTTGTAATTATTTTATTTTTAATGTATTGTAAGCACATGGCAATTGAATAGCTTCAGCCAGGAAATGATAGCTGTCAGTGGCAAGATTCCGCAGACGGCAGCTTAATGTAAATACAGCAGGTAGTGGGCTGGTGCAATAGCCAGCCTGCTAATGGCCATTTCAAATTGCAATAGCAGGCTGGCTATTGCAGCCGCCCACTGCTTGCTGTGCTCTCCTCCCTGCATGGAGGAGCGAGCTAGGGTATCCAACCAACTAATCGATAATGAGAATAGTTGACAACTATTCTCATCGATTATTATTGATTTAATTGGATGCAGCCCTAGTTGAAATGTTGCTTATAACTGATAATTAAATCTTCCAGCACCGTACAGACAGAATTGATTCTGGTAAATATTAAATCTAAAGTACCCATGTCTGCAGTTTGCATTTTGAATGCAGGATTTGACAGATAAACTAATAATCTAATGACCTGCTTTAGATTTTAGCTTGTTATAACCCAGCGTCCTATGTGAAACTTCTGACTACGTTGTATTATGTGTTTCTTTTCTTTTTATTTCCACAGTGCACAGTGCTGTGAAAAAAATAAGAAGGAGCAATTTCTCTGTTTCTTTGTTCCACTCAAAATGAAAGGGGTATGGGAATGCAGTGCACCACAATGCATGATAAAACATTGCCACAGCACAAGATAGTATGAATAGGCCCTGAGTGAACTCTGGAAAAGGAGAGAGACCCAAAAGCAACGTTGTTAACTGATTTATTATCAAGTGGGAACTGAGATTCCTAATTTAATGATAAGCAAACACATTATTGATACCCATTAAAAAGAAGTCAGGTCAAGTTCATGTAATTTGATATCATATAAATATTTTAGGGATTCCAGTAAGATTCCTGTGCTTACATTTCAGAACTACACACCAGCTGTAGCCTGTACAAAGAGGGCCCATGTTCCTGTTGGGTTCTTAAGAGAACTATGACCAAATGTTTTTTGGCCACAGTTTTCTTTAGGGTCACAAGAGGACATTTACTAATGCCCTCCTGTGACCCACAACTCAGCATATAGCAGGCTACTGCCCACTATATGCTGAAAGCGCAGAGCTGCGATACAGCCAGGAAAGTTCCCGACAATATTGTCTGGATCCAGCCCGCTGCCTGATTGATTGCTGGCTCCTTTTCTCTAGGGCCAGAGCCAGCTGTGGCTGCCCCCTCCGCTGTCTGTCCCTCCAATGAGCACAGTAGTGATGACTGACAGTCGCTGCTCTCTGCAGGGAGAAGATCGTGAACTGAGCGATCAGCGCTTTGTGATCATTCAGTTCTCAATCAGTACAGTCGACGTGTGACAACTTCAGTTTCACACACAGCTCTAACTATGGGGATGAGTGTATTTGACTCATCCCATAGTTCTCCTTTTAATTATATCTATATATCAAATATTGCAGAAATGTGGGAATATCAAAAGATGGGCTGGAGCAGAACCAAGACTGTGGCATGAAAAGTTCACTACTGGACTACTAAAGAGATTTAAGAAAACAATAGATGACTAAGCTCCCCTAGCGCTAGGACTGAAATCATATGTGGGGAATAAACCTACACTGACAGAAATATGGGGTCTAATATGGCTGAGCTTCATCTTAAATTGCTAGCTGACTGGCTTCAAAACCTTAAGTTACAGACCCAAAACAAGTATGCAAAAAGGAAGTCAAAAGTTTTAATCTGTTTCCATCGGGATACAGCCAAGTAGCCCTCAGAAACGCGCGTTTGTTGCGCGTTTTTTTTTACCGCGAATCGCCGTAAAAACGCCTAGGTGTGAACCCAGCCTAAAGCCTAACTT